TTTTTACTAAACAGACCAACGAAAAATGGATCCAAATGTCACCTTAAATAAATAAATTAAATGTTTCTTACCGTTATAAAAATGGTGTAAAAATCAACAAACTTAACTTTGAAATCGCTATAAGGAGTACACTTGTACAGGTGTCAATGCCCGAGGTAAGCTTTTCTTACTATTGATATTTTATTGCTGATTCGGGGACGCGACCGGAGTGAAGAACGGTTTTTGGTAAAGCAGTTCCTCCAGCGATGGACTAGGTTTTACTAGGCGTGTAGAACACGATTCTATATGCGGTCCTTATCAGCTATAATTTTTGATGTGATTGAATAGTTTTATGTTTTACAAAAAAATACTCTAAAAGTCTGGCGAAGAAAAGCGACGGCGTGAAAACAACAATAAATTGTAAAAATGATTAATTCTGGAAAAAATTGTTCTATAGATTTCCAACGAACCCTACATAATCACAAATCATTAACCGAAAATCGGTGACAAGTATACAGTATACTCGTGCAAAACAAAAGGCAACAGAGGACGATTGTAATAATAAAAAAAAAATCAAACTCACATTGTATGAAAATTCTTTGTATGGACTGTGTTTGGTTTATCGGAAGAGTATAAAACAAATACCGAAGTAGGTGATTGTCTTAAAATTTGCTATTTATTGGTATTTTTAGACCTTGAAGATTTTACTAACTTTTTTCCATTGGAATTAATTTCTATGAAGCCCGAAAACTCAATTCGCAGATTATAATATATTAGACACCTACATCATAGAAGAAGCATTGTTTCCACCAAATATTTGAACTCAATGCAGCACTGAATTGAATTTATCTACGACTGGCGACTGCATGCGAGTTTCACTCACATTTAGCTCAATTTTTTTAGAACACTCATCCAAACATACATAACTTTACAAAAGCTCTATTAGATATTCAATCATTTACAATTTACTCGCACATTAAATTTAACAACTTTTAGTATGCATTAACGAACCTAATAATCTTAGAAGTTCACAATCAAAAACACACAACAAATATTTAAACATCATAACTTCGTCGTCCAAGGAAAACAATATTACCATTATGAAATTAGTTAAAGCTGCATGATACATTGGTACATGAAATTAATTTCCAGTTACGGCCTTGCTTGCATCTAATCGTTATCAAACCAAATTTTAAATTTTATTTAAGTAATTATATTTTTACCAATAACTATTTTAAGCTACCTGTTAATTATTGATAATTAATAATTGTATTACCTATACATATTTTGTATTAATTTAGTTTACATTTTTTTTTCAGATAACTATAATGTGTATAAATAATTAATCTGTACATAAATTATATAGTCACCTATTATCTACATTCTACATAATGTTAATCATTATATTTTTTATTTTTTTATATTTATTATATTTTAACCAACTAGTGATCATTCTTGTTTATTATATGATTTTTTAAAAAAAAATTTTTATGTAAATAAATAAATGTAAAATAAATCGGTACTCACATAAATTGTGTAAGTACCTATTCCTTACATAATGTTTATTTTATTTCAGGTAAAAAAAAATACAGGTGGAATTATCATTTTTTTTTTTCAAATAGTTAAAAATTACCAGTTTGATTTACATGAAAAAAAGTTGTCTTTAGTAGAATTTACATGCACATATTTTAGGTGACACCAATTAACTACCTACTCAAAATTCAGGAAATACTAAAACACACTGATTATAAGGCTGATTATAAGGAGTCCAGTTGTCGCTTGCAGCCTGCAGGATTCGGTATAGAGAGGTTGTGATGGATAAAGGGACAGCAGAGTTATGCTGACCAGGGAGGCAAACTTTATTAAAATTATTTTTCAGACCTTTTTTTTGCCTTACTTTTCCTCTGGCGGCATACAAGAAAGTCACACACCCTATGTTTTACTGGTACTTACAGCTTTCTTTATCATTTCTGATCGTATAATATAGTCAATATAAATCGTCCTTTATTCTCTCATTATTTAATGTGATAATGACAGCGGATGTTTAAATATCATAGAAAAGGTCAAAGGGCATTTGTTTACTCATTGACCTATCATTAAATTTCATTAAATGAAATATCAACATAACACATGTAATAACTAAACAGTTTTTAGTTTTTTTCAGATTTTGAATATGTATTAGTTTAATTAAATATAATATAATAATAACATTTATTTTATTGCATTTCATAAATATACATAAATAAATATAAAAATATTAGTTTGAAATGATTAGGTATGTCTCAAAAGCTTGCGGAGGAGACACACAGTTCTATACTTAAACATATGTATACCAATTTTGAACTTAAATTTGTTAAAATATAAAAATATACAATGTATGAATAAAACTAATACATAAAAATGTCTGTATAATATATATATATATATATCTATACACAACCAAAAAAAAATAAGCTAAAATATATAGTATGATAAAAAAAAATAATTACTAATAATAAATATTTAGTACCTATCCTATAGTAATATTTTTCTATATAGGAAAAATATTTGTACAGACTTCGCATACCCATAACTGTTTCTATAGAAACACACCTATGGAACTCCAAAAATTATTATTGTAATTTATTGAAGTATTTATTAAAAAATTTGAAAAATTTGATTAATTTTAATCAAATTTTTTTGTTGTTTTATAAATTATTTACATTAACTTTATTTATTATATATTATTGAGTGATAACTAAAAAAAAATATGCACACAGTTTAAATAGCATCAAAATGTAGAGAAAAAATTATTCATAAAAAAAAACAAAAAAATAAACCTTGTTCACAAAATTAAAAACATTTATTTTTGAACAAAGAAAATAAAAGTTTTTCAAATAATAAAATTTTACAAAACAAAAGGTTTAAGCATGGCTATAGTCGCAGACACAAAAAATGAGATCTGACATGATGCATTCAAGCGGCAGTTTTTCGATTATGCAAATCAAATCAAGGTGATAATTCCATTTGATTCACTTAACGGCCAGTGAAATTGTACAATGTTAAGAATCAATTATTAGTGCTATGTTTGTGAACAACAGTTCTTGGGGACCAGCTCTCATTTTTTGTGTTAGCGACTAGCACAAACAGTATTTTTGAAAAAAAAAATATTGCTGTTTTTAAAGGGTTGAGTTAAAACCAATTACATTCTTGTTAAAGATCATGTTAAAAACTACAATACATTTATAAACCTTGAAAATATTCTTTTGATATGATTACCAATTCTAACTTCTAATAGTATATTAGCAAATAGTAGGCAAGTCAAAACATTTAAAAACAATTCTTAAACTCTTTAATTGAATTTCATAAAAACCTATTTAATTCGTTTTTCAAGCATTATGTTACATCAAGATTGTTGGTAGAAAAAGCATTAGTGTCAGTGATAAAAAAAATTAAGAAAAGTGTGCTAGAATCTATTAAATTATGTTGAGCTTAAATTTGATTGGTAATAATATCAATATGTATCCTAAAAACAAAGATTGTGATCATGAGGATAATTATTTATTATAATACAAACATTATTTATTTACTTCAACATGTTCACAACATAATTAAAGATCAAACTTAATTTATTTCTATCCTTATGACTCTTTCAACCATGACTGTAATGTATAATTTTTTACCCTTTCAGATCACTTTTGTTCAAGACTTACTGTCCAAAATTTAACCACCAATAAAATACTAATGTTTGTAAAACTTATAATAATATTTTAAAAACATAAAAGTGAAATATTGAATGTCAAGAAATAAATAAGTATAAATGAGCTCAAATAACTAATGTTACAACATAGAAACTCCAAGTGCTTCACGGCATCTTTCATAAACAACATAACTTATACTAACAGCGGGCGCTACTTTAATAAAATTTGGAGTGATACCTCTGTACAATCCAGGGATACCTTCTTTTACCCAAATTTCTCTAAATACTGACATCATTGTCCTTGTATCGGGACCTTCGAAATCTGAAACAATAATAAACCAATTATTAATGAATTAATAATCAATATAAAAATAATAACTTACTAGGTGCCTGAAGACGTGTACGGACAAGAGATAAAGGGTATGAACATACCTGACCACAAGTACTAGATACAGTACCACAAGCTAACAATAATGGCATTCCAGGTTTTTCGCCATCATTGTGTGAAGCGATATACTTATTTTTTAATGTCTACAAAATAATAACACAATATAATTGATAAAATAATGAAAGTTTTATTGAAAATAATTGACTAGGTACTAAACTTGTATTTATCAAAATATAAATTGAAAATATGTTCAAATATTTGAGCACCAATCATCAGTGGTACTTAAATGAGGTAAAACAAGAAGAACAAAGATAATTGAACATAATTTACTTCACCATAACAGTTTACTTCATAGAATAATAAAAAGGCCCATGAGAGGGAAAACATTTTGCTTCAGAATATGAAATTTTAAAATGAATTTTACTATTCAAAAAAATAAAAATTGTAAAAAAAAGTTGTTTTCTAACGACAACAAATTATGTGAAAACAATATCGTAAAAAAGTTAAGAATTTTTGAAAAATAATGATTGTAAATACTTAGTTAAATTATCTTTAAAATTTAAAAAAATTACCTCATAAACTGCAAGGTCAATACCAGCGTAAGGAAGTATACCTAAAAGGTTGGGTACATAACCCCTGTAAAAACTTCGTATACCTTCACGGTAATAAATTTTTTGGATACAATCAAATATACCCTTATACTGATTACTTTTGCTGATGGCTAATTTTGTTTTTAAAACCTAAAAAAAAAACAACATAAATATTCTAATAATAATTGTAAAAATAAAAGAGTTACATACCTCTAGGGGATAAATTAATGATTGACTAAAACCTCCTGCGAGTGATCCGGCAAAAAATTTTTCAAATATTGTTAAATCTGTAGTTCTTGAACCTTGAATCCTGCGTTTCGCTTGTTCATAAGCCATAAATTTGAACGCAGACTCTGGAGCTATCTTGAGTACATTTATACCATTTCCACGCCACATACCTAGTTTGCCTCCTTCTTTTAACATACTTTTGAAACAAGTTGTTATATTGCTATGTTGATTGCCATACACCTAAGACACAATTTAAGTCATTTTTATAGTCAAGCAATAATTTTCATAATTATATTTTCAAAGATACTAAATTGAATGTATTATTTTATTTAAAATAAAAATTATTAGATGTGTAATACAGTATAGACATTTGATTAAGCTATAAATTATTTTACTATAAATTAATGAGTTAACATTGACTTACTTGTAAGAATACTTTAAGTCTATCCAAAGGTGCAGTAAAAGTTCTTGAGACAGCTCCAGCCACACCACCAGATACAAGATGCCGCCACCACATCCCTTTTAGCATTTCAGCTTGAGTGAAATCAACAGGAACATTCATATCTTCTCCAAAGTCTATTAACTGAAAATGCAATAATTGCAAAATTAAATTATTTAAGCATCAACTTTTAACATAATATTGTATTATTTACAATAAATTGACTTTTTTCAGAGTAGGTAATACAATTTGTATAAAATATAAATCTAACTAGACTCTAATCACTAGAGATATAAACAAAACTATGGGTACAACATAAAACTATTTTAAAATTTTGACTTTTTGAAGAATATTATTTTATTTGATCTAGAATAAATAAGCTATATTATTATGTGATTAAATTATAATTAAATTTGAATCATTCGGTAATATTACAACTGAATAATAATAATAAATAATCTATTAAACAAATATTAAGTACTTTTGGCCCTTGGATTAAGTGAGCTCAATCTACAGCTGCCTAGTACATTATTAGCAATATATTAAAATCTTGTATAAATTTAAAATGAACCCTTTTCAGTTTTTATAACTTTTCAAAAATTGATTATTAGTAAACTTAATCATTTTTTAATAAATCGAAATTACTTAAAATATATTTATCAATATTCCATACTTACAGCTGAATGCCTCCAATATTTAATTAAGTTGTGTAAGTGTGTATGTGGGCAGTAAAGTAAAAAATCTCTCCATTCTTCAAAGCTTATTTCTAAACTACCATCTTTATCCATCCTAAAGTATATTATATAAAAAAAATCAGGAAAACTTAATTTATTTTAAGCCGTTAATCACAAATGAATTACCTTTTAAGAAGTTTTACAGTTTCAGTGACGTCAATGTCTATTCCCAATTCTTGAAAAGCTCTTATAAGTTCATATTGATCAATTTTCCCTAAAGAAATTCTAAATAAATTAAATTGAAAAAAAAATGTATAATGGTAACACTTAAAATTAAATAGTAAATTGAATGTGGGGAAGAAATTAGCAATTGGTTATTACTTATTAGGTGTTTCACCTATACAAAGCTAAAAATTAGTTGAAAAAATAGTTATTATGATTGAATATAATTTTAGACCTGTATTTTATAATATGACTGTTAAAAGTTTTATTTGAAATAATGAGGTAAATCAGCGGGAATTCGTCATGGGAAGTTTTTAACATCAATTAGATGGGTATTAAATGAAAAATTGAACACAAATTTTGAATTATATTAAGTTGGTATTTGATAATTCAACAATGAAATGTAAGGGATTAGCTAGTAAGTTATAAATTAATTATTTAGTACAAATTAAAGAAAATACTTTGAAAAAATATAAGAGTAAACCTATTAACTAAATTTTATATGAGATAACAACAGACATAAAATACTAATTATAAAAAATAATTATAGTAATTTATTGTTCTGATAAAAATACTGATTTACATATCATTCAAAAGAGAAAGTATATAAAAATACCTGTTATTTTACTAACTGACTTTATTGTACAAGTTTCTGATTAAATTATTAAATACAACTTACTCTTTTACTTAAAAATGTTAATATGTTTAATTTTATTAAATCTACATATTAAAAAATATATAATATAATGTACTATACTATTATTATTTATCTTTCAATGCATGGTTATCTAAACATCATGGTTCTGTGATAAATTATAATTTGCATTACATTTTAAGTCTTTAAGAGTTAGTGTTTATTAAATTACTTCTTACCATCTTTGTTTTTGTCAATGTTTGAAAAACTTAGCTTTAATGTTTTTTCATATTCTTTAACGTAATTTATAAATTCAGCTAATGTAATTGAACCACTCTTGTATGCATCAGATAGTTCTAAAAACTTATACAGAACAAAAGAATACATAAAATTAAATAAGCTACCTTAATAAACTTATGATTATGATAATATTTATGTAGAGTGACCAAACATAAATGTTAAAACAGATATGTTCTTTAATTTGACCATCATGTTCGATTGTACTAACAAACTTCAATTAGGGGCACTTTTGGTCTCATTTTCATCCAGCAGTCTCTATATTATTGTTTTATAAGCATCGAGTTTCAATGAACAATTATCTATAATAGAAATGGGACATGTCAAATTACAGAGTGAAATTTTTATGAACATTTGTTATTTGTCAACATTTTTATCAACATTGTTTCTAATGGAAACATGGTTTGTTATTTATAAAAAATTTAAATTATCAAACAAATTTTGAAGTTTTATTTCTTTAAATTGTAGTAACAGTTGTTTGTTTTGGTTTATAATTTTTTTAATATGGCCACCTTTATTAATTTCAAAAAAAGAAATTCACTTACTTGAGCATATTCTTTATCATGCAATGAACTAGACAAATCAAGTACGTCAACTTCACCGTTCTTGTCCATATCAAGCGATTCAAATAATTTAGCCAAATTAAGTTCATCTTCATTGGGAAGCTCATGTAGATAATGAGTAGGCATAATGCTTTCAGTATTATTAAGACTGACAGTCTGATCATTAATGGTGTTCACCATCATTTAATTGAGCTAAATGAAGTATAGTTAACCTCAATTGTATTTCTATACCAAGCCAAACTAAGTGAAATCATACATAACAAATAAGTCAAAAATACATAATTTTTTTCAAACAATGTCAAATTAAACTGAAATTTTTCAAAATAGTTATAACAAAAACAATCTCTCTAATCCTATAAGTGAAATGCCTAAAACTTGAGCAACTTAAGTCTCAAAAGTCAATCATCATTATTAACACTTATCAAAACTATATGACCTTAATTTTTTTATCAAAGTGGTTAGTGGTTAACCATATTATGCTACACAAAGGGCGGGTTGCATAAAGAACAGTCTGTACATTTTTTACCGGCTCTATAAGGTTTTTAATGATTGTGTAAACTATTCTCGGGTTGCATAAATAAATAGTAAATTATTAATAACTGTGGTTACCAAATAAATTAAACCATATTTTTTAATCGCAAAAACTAAAAAATATATACAATATAAATTGAATATTGATAATCTTTGATAATAAAAATTGTTTATCTTATCATAATAATATTATATTATTTTCACCGATCTGTAACTAGTTACAGAGCCCAAATCGGATCTGCAGTTTACAGGTCCGGTAGCCGATAATTTACAGAGCCGGTAACTTTACCAAGCGTTCAAGCAACACCTAATTTTATTTACAGATCCGTTAGCGTACTTACAGATCTGTAAGTAGTTACAGGACGTTTATGCAAACCGCCCAAAGAAGTACGTCGATCGTCTCCACGATGAATGTCATCCAGAATCTAGATAAAACAGTGTTTTCACTCGGCATCAAAAAACAACTAATAATATGCATTGTAACTATAGTAATTTTAGTTTTTTATTAATTAAAATATAAATAAAGTCCATAAGTTAATTTTCGTGTAGTCATACATATTTGTATTATCGAACCAGATGGCCAAGGGCTGAGAATGAAAAGGTCAGCTTTTTTCAAAAGACGTGATTTTGCATAAATTTATTTAATTTTCAAATGTACATTTTTTGAATTAACTACGGTTCTTTCTCAATTATGTATAAGATATTTTTTTAAGTTAAGATAGGCAGTTATACAATTTTAGTTCTTTGAAGTAATTTTATTTTGAGCCATCTTCTAGGAATTATTAGTTTACAATTTTAAATATTACATTACATACACCTACAAAGCCACACAGGGATAATAAATTACATTTATAACACAATGATTAAAAAATAAAATAAAGGTAAATAAATACTTTTTACCCTGCTAAGAAATACACAACACTTGGTATATAATATTGCCGTAATCCGTAGCGAGGTGACCGACAAAAATAACTGCTGTGGTGAGCTCATCGCTCATGTTTTTACTTTTATGATAAGTGATAACCACTTGTTTAAATATTATTGAATTCGTCTGATGGCAGTCGACTGATTAATTTATTATAAACTACATAAACTGCAAAGGTTATAATTCCATTTTTTTTTTGGATTTTGGAACTATTTGTGATTAAAAGTTAAGAAAAAAACAGCATCGTGTGATAAAGTCGTAACTGAAATTGTGTAATTTTATACTCCATGAAATTGATAAATGAAAATTATAAATAATCATATCTTCGATGTATAATTTTTAAGACTTAGAAAGAATCTTGTTTCCATATTATTATTGTAATAAATGACGGAGACATGACATTATTTATATCGAACGAAAGGATTTAATCTATGTTAATACATTTTATAAATGTAATAAGTTTTAAATCATTCGGAACTTAACTACAGATTAGTGCTCCGGATCTTACCCTGTCTCCTAAAGTTCTAACATGGAAATACGATTAGCAATCTGTACGATTTGTATAACAAATACTGATGCTGTTTTAGAGTTGAATTTCAAACATTCGGGTGCCAGCGTAGCGCACCCCTTTTTCCGGACAATATTTGTAAACACTATGAAAACCTGTCCTATTTTGGCAATAATATTAATTTTTGCTAATTCTTATATGACCATTTGCCCAGTTATAATTGAAGTTTTCATTATATTTATTAGAGAATACAATTTAATTATACAATTATCATATTTCTATATGTAATACACTAATACCTTGTATTATAATGTTGGTCTTCATAAAACTAAATATAATAATTATAAAATGTGTTAGGTACTTAGTATATTAATATTATTTTAACAACTACATCGATATATAGATATCAGTTTATCAAAAAATAGTATTTTGATTTCAGAAAACCAATATTTATAATGGCAGTGACATTTAAACACGAGAATAATAAAGGTCATCAAATCGATGTGACTATGTTTTTAATAAGATTCATTTATCACCAAACGATTAATCACCGATAAGATGCTTTGTAAAAACCCATCAACGATAAGCTTTTATTCAAAACTCGGAGCCAAATACACGTCTCGGGACGTAGTTCATAGTTGTTCGACGTTCAATTATTTCTGTGTATTGTATTATTTTTTTCTACTCTCCTGTGTGGCTGTGTGTCAAGACAGCAATAGATTTTTACACCATTTTTATAACGGTAAGAAACATTTAATTTATTTATTTAAGGTGACATTTGGATCCATTTTTCGTTGGTCTGTTTAGTAAAAAAATTGATTTTCATTAATGTATTTTTTTTTAATATTTAGCCTGGTAACACAATAGACATTCTAAACATCGTGTTTAATCATTGATCTATTAGTTATGAACAAAAAATGTAATCACTGTGTATCTTATAAGTGGATTCTATTCTATGAAATGTACAGTATGTTTCGTCCATCGCCGACTTAATATATTTCATTATTTTAGATTGAATCAATGTAATAAACCGGGTCCGGAACTTGACGATCTGAAAATACATACAAATGCATGAATTGACATTCAAATGTTAAAAAATGACATGAAAAATGTATATTTTACTGTAAAATTGATAAAAATGAAGAATATTGTTTCGGTACAAATTATATTTATAAATTAATTAAATAAAACTTTCTATTATATACTCCAAATCATTTTTTTTTATAGGTAGTTATTATAGTTAAAAAAATGTTAGTATACACCACTTTTCGTGAAATGAATATTTTTGTCGAGTTTCATGTTTTTTAACTACTCGGTGACATAAAAACATACTAGTTTAATTGAAGTGTACATTTTTACGTATCTAATAACTTTTAATATATTTGTTTACCTTCAGATTTGTTACACTGTATAATCATGGGTTTCTTAATATTTTCAAACAAAAATGAACGGCGATTGTTCGATAGCTAGATCGAAAAACTTCTCTCTACCTCAACAGAATAATATGTGATATGGGTGCATAAAAAATACTTGATATAGTTGAGGTTCGAATCGATCGCTAATCGAAACTGAATATGTTTCAACAAAGTGTAACTTTCAAGGAGAAAAATGCAAATTTTTTTTTTTTTTAAAGTACAAAAATGATAAAAATTAACCAAAACCATTACGGTAAACGGTAAAATTCCCTAAAAATGCAAATAATGCAAAATAAAAACTATTCCACGACATTCTATATTTCATGAATCAAATTTCTGTAAATAAGATGAGCTTCGAATGTAAGCATTAGAAAAAATGATCCAAGTGCATCAAGTTCCGGGCATTAGTACTATATGTACATTTTGACGTGTGTTTTAAATATTTTTGAAGAGACTTTTTATTTCTTTTATTTTAAAAATTGCTTGTATTTAAGAACTTTGTGGGAGGTGGTGGATGTTATTCTACGTCCCACGTTATTTAATTTTTTCGTTTAATGATTTTATATTTTTAAACCTTTAAATATCTGTATAACGTTATTTAACAATATAATTAAATTAAAAATTGTAAATTTACTTAAAATGAATTCTATCGTCATTTTTCGCGTAACTATAATAGGTACCACTGTAAAAGCTTTAAAATTTGCAAAACTCTTAGGTTATACTAATTTCAATCATCCCTGAGTAAAATTGATTGTTTATTGTTAGCTTAGCTTTAGGTATTAAGTCAAAAATTTCAGTAAACTGTAAAGTTATGAATAAAATCATAGTTCTAATTGATTGTTTAAACTCGACTAATGTCTGATCACTAGAAACAAAAATAAAATAGTATAAATGATATAGAAAATGTGTTGTAGATATTCTATATTAAGACTATTAAGAGGCAATATTGTAATTATATTAATGCCATGACTCCATCAGGTCGGTATAGGTATACTAAATATAGTGGTTATTAATTTAATAAATTTTAAATGTTTCTGTGTCTATGTACTTATGTATGTTAACTGATTTTTGACGATTTTCAATATTTTGAAGTACCTATATAAGATATAATATATTAATATTGGTAGGTACAAATTATATTTCTTTTTTACATCTGAGACGCAAATGATATCTATGTATTACTTTATGACTCATCGGAAGTAATTCCCATTAGGTGTGGAAACAATAGTCATGTTATTACCAAACACTTTTATTTTTTATTAGACACCTAAAATTATACATAGTAATCATAAAAAATATTAATGTTTTTTATACATCAATAATAATAATTAATAATTAACCAAAAATAAAAGAAGTTGAATTTACAATAAACAAATACAACTGTTACGATCTCATCGTTTTGTTTTAGACTACCAACGACATGTCTTCTTCGAAAGATCGTAAACCGTCATTACAAGACCTTCAAAACGCGGTGGACAATTGTCAGGCGAAATGGGATAAGAACCAAAAAATCAAAGCCGAAATGAAGCCTTCAACCGCCGTTGTTTCACCCACGCAGCGAAATGATGTCGAGCCGATGTTTCCAAAACCATCGAGCAGTCGTCATAACTAGGGCCTATGATATTATATTATATTATAATATTATTTTAAATTTTCTTTCGAAGACCGCGAGCGGTTGGTTGAGACGAAACGAGTTGTACCTATACGGCTATAATACATACAAATACATTATGAAGGTTGTTTTTGTTTTTGTGTTATATTCATTTAAATCATCATTAATAAATATTATTTTTGTAACAAT